ATAAAATTGGCCAATGGATGCAAGACATGCCAAATTGTGTAAAGCGACTCAAACCCTTGAACTCCCTTCTTATGTTGTGTGGGTTTTGTTGATGTATCGTATAGATTTTAGCTTACTTTTTGAACCAGGACGCGAATTTTGCAGCACATGGCTACTGAGTTGAGATTGAACATGAGAGAGGTGATGGTTTTGTTGAAGTCGATGATTTACTTAAGCTGAATTTGAAAACATCTACAAATATTCAGTTGAAATCACACACGATTGACGAAATCAGAGAAGTTATTTTTCACTATCTTCTACGATTGTTGTTTTAGTCTACGAGCATTTCGGTTTTCAGTGATTTTGCGTATGGTTTTGTCTTGCAGGCATTGAGGGATAACAAACAACGTTTCAGCTTTTGGTTATATCTTTATTTACAGACGGTTGTTACCGAAAAAAATAATTAAACCAATACTGTCCTCGAAAGAAACTCTAGGTAAAAGCAGTATTAGGACACATACGTCTGGCCTCTGTTCTACATCGCATAGTTTTTCATATTCATTTGAATTTCTGTAATAGCACTAAGTGTACATGGAACTTATAGGAAGAAATTTTGAATCAATTATAGCATCTATGTGGTTTGATCTACTTTCTGTTGGATAGTAAACTTTTACATTGACCTGAAAATAATGTACTCTCTCCTATTTCTAAATCATAGCGGCCAACAAATCTTTTCCGTAATATAAGAAAAATGATTTCCAAACAATGGTTTCCTCCATGACATATCCTTTTGTATATACTTCAGCGATATATATGAAACAACAATGACTGCAAATAGTATTTGACTTACATTATGTTATTAATATCTACAATACAAAAACTAACTTGATAGAAGTAATATGAAAATAAAACAAAAAGAAGAATAAAAGTACACAAAATAAGGCAATCGCAAGAAAATAAACATGATCGTGATTCGTGAAATACCTTTAAACTCAAAGTTGCCTTCCACGTTCGAGGCTATATTCTTGCATGTTTCACAAACTATGTACTTATGGAAAAAAAATCCATATTTAGTTTTTAAACAAAGCTATACATTATTTGAAAGATATTTCGAATGTTCAAAATAATTGGTTTCTTTTTACGTTAAACCACATTTTTGTATATTCGTTGTGAGATGGATCAGCTCCCACTCATCAAGACATATCATGCACCATGGTGGACTTTGAATGTCTACCTTAATCTCTTCTTCCAAAATATTGGAGATCAGTTAATCACTTGAATTTACGTATTTTTATTTATTCAAACGTGTTAGTAATATTAGCGGAAAATATTTCAAGGTTAATATATTTGAATCCGGATAGTAAAATTTCAAATTTCGGATATCTAGATCCGAATGCATCAAATATATTAAAACATATATTTTTGAATATATTAAGTTATATTAAAAACATTTATTGTAAAGACCTATACCAAAAAAATAAATAATTTAATATAAAAATTTAGTGAAAATACGTACCTACATTTGT